TCTAAGAGCTGTTCTTTTATTCATATTGTTGAATTGCTTATGAAAGATGTAGAATCTGTTTCCCTTAGATAAAATCCTTGCCTCCTCGAAGGAGAGTTTGTTATCAGGAATCTTGCAGGCTCTAAAATGATAAGATAGCCTGTACCTCGCATACTAATTTATTAATCAGCATTCTTAGAATATCCTACGTGGTGTTTGACCAAGTGAATAATGGAGAGTATAACACCTTCCGATGGAATTACAATATTTTATTAAAACAGACCAGAGCAGAGTTTGATGATTATTAAACACAGGGATAGAGAGTGATTTAAGGAAGTCTCGAGAGGACTAAGGGTTGAGTAATAATCGAGCACCATAATGAATGGGTTAAACTGATCACTAATATAATGGTTATTCAATTAGACGTCGTTAAGACAAGTATAGAGTAAGAAAATCTGCATTTAAATCCAACTGGTTCGCACTTTGATTCTAAGAAAATTACATGGAAAACGGATAGGTACTAAAGAAATATATTATTTATTATTATTTAACAGTTCTTTATGACAATCGTAATTAATTTATACAATTATTCCCATTCTGTATTTATACCAATATTAAATTTAATGAATTTCATTGCGAAGTTCTTAATCCTTTAATTCAGCGATGGTTTTCAGTAGTATAAGTCAATGACGTAGTCCGACAGTCTTCTATTGGCACTGTTGGCAATCGATAACATCTCCGTGGCTCTATTTTCCTATTCTTGGATTCTCTTTTTCATATATTCAACTCTTGCTTTAACATATATTTATATTAACAATACCGTATATTCTAACATTCGATTTTATATAGCACTCCTGAAGAAGAAATTAAGTACTGCGAGTTTTATCGGTTCATTTAGTAAGTAGAATATAAAGAAACTATAGGAATTTCGTATAAGAAGTTAAATGTGCCGAAGGATTTTCAGTTTCCTTAATTCTTTATTTATCACATGAAGGATATTCTGGCCTTATCAATATCACCAGAGGTACCAAAGAATTTGTTAAGCAAACAGACTGGTGGCTTCATCCAGCGGTGAAAAGACCGCGTTCAAGTTTGAAGTCGACAATTTAGTTCGCCTCCTTTACTGCGAGAGGAAAACCATTTGTTATCTTCGAACTTAGCAAAATTTCAAAATAATCATTTATATAAAATTGATAAATGGGATAATTAAGCGACAATTGAGATGTACGAGTAAACCTTTCACTTTTCGAACTTCTATTTCGCGTTTCTCTTCCATATCGACAAGAGAATTCAAGGCTAGATTCGAGCGTCCTCTCTTCTTGAATAGTGTTCGATTCCTGCTCGATTCAACTTTTACCGAAGTAGTATTAGAGACAGGGACACAGAGAGATATGTTACTCTTTCCTGTTTCCTTACAAATGAACCAAATTTCGCCTTGTCTCACTGTTCGTTCGACTTCTATTCCAGCAAATTTGAATTAGCTGTTTCACTAAATTCGTCGTATCATTTATTAACACGTACATTAAATTAAAATACAATTTAAGGATGCATTGGCTATACAGTCAATCCTAAAAGTTTATATATCTCAGAAAAACGCATTTCCTACAATTAAAAAGAAATCAGACATCGGAAGAACAATACTAATAATAAATAGCTACGTGCCAAAAAGTATAGAAGGAACTATCCAATTAACTATTAATGCTGGAGAAAAGCTTTTTATACAGAAGTTGTAGGCACTGATGTCCTTTAGAAGAAAAATTTTTCTTCTAATTTCGATATTTAACGAGTTACGTATGATTATTTGGCATTTTATTGATGTTGACAAAATCCGACCATCCCAGCGTCGAAACGGAGAGCTTTTGGCAAAAAATTTCATTTTCTCAAAATAACTCCTAAATCGTTGGATCTACGGAAAAATTGTATAGGACATTTCTTGTAGAGGACGACGAGATCTACAATTTCCATGTAAAAATTCTTCGCTAGCGTCAATAGTTTACGAGTTATTTGCAAAAAACTGTTTTTTCGTTTTTCGTCCATAACTCGTTAAATATTAATGCTAGCGAAAAACTTTTACATGGAAATTGTAGATCTCGTCGTCCTCTACAAGAAAGGTCTTATACAATTTTCCCGTATCTCCAAGGGTTTAGGAGTTATTGAGGAAAAACGAAATTTTTTTCCAAAAGTTCGCCGTTTCGACGCTGGGATGGTCGGATTTTGTCAACATCAATAAAATACCAAATAATCATACGTAACTCGTTAAATATCGAAGTTAGAAGGAAAACAACTTTTATTTGAAGCATTTTTCGCAATTTTGAAAAAACAAAAATTTTTTCGTCAGCGTCAGTACTTGGATATTTCCTTCTATACTTTTTAGCACGTAGTTATTTATTATTAGCATTATTCTTCCGACGTCTGATTTCTTTTTAATTATAGGAAATGTATTTTTCTAAGGTAGATAAACTTTTGGGATTGACTATATAGCCAATACATCCTTAAACNGTATAACGGTTTGGAAGTTATTGGCAAAAAGCGAAAATTTGGAAGAAATTGAAGGGGTACCCCTTGGAAAAATCTCGAAAAAATTGAAAAAATTTTTTTTGTCAAAATATCGAAAAATACCGAAATATATTCTAAAAAGCATCAAAAATACCAGACTTTCTAGGCTTGTGTTTCCTTAAGTCAGTTGTTTCTTCCAACTTTCAGCATGCACACTAAATACCAGAAAGTTTTCCTTGGGTTACTGCTGATTACCATAAGAGGACATGCAAATTTTAAGTCACTATAATTTTCCAAGAAACCCATGTATTGATTTAAAATTTTGCAGGTAGCTTTTTAATAACAATAGGAATATATAATAACAAATTCAACATGCTAGTATTAATTAAGTATATAGCCTATACATCCTTAAGATGAAAATTCAATACTAAATCGTAGTTCTTCGCTTGGTATCATTTCCATACATGTTTTATACTTTAGAAATGATACCAATTACGAGGAATAAAAAATAGAATAAGAGTAAGGCAATAGGAAAATACTTTTTGTTAGTGTAAATATGATATTTATTTTTCCAAGGCTTTATTCAATAATCATACTCCTCAAAATACGATATCATACAATATATATTTAATATGAAAGTCACGCATAAGATGTATTGTAATAATACTTTATAGAAATATTTAAAAAAAATTTAATTTGATAACTTTTGCATTATATATACATATATATTTCTTTTATTTTTCTAGAGATTGATAATGAGTTAATTATTTCTGTTTCTTGACGAGGAGGACTAATCGTAAAATTAGGAACTACCAATTATTAAGTATATTTCGAGAATTTCACTAGTTTTTGGTCAGACTGTACGCGGCTATCCCTACTGGATAAAATAAATGAATACATATTTACATTAACTACCTGCTTAATCTACTTATAAAATAGTTGAATGTACAATTACAGACAGGAGCATCGTTATCTCGTTGGCGACAGTTGCCTGCAAACTGTTTCTCGACGCCTGAGGTTCTCACTAACATTATAATATCATGTTTATGGTGATCGGTGTTTACATTATTTCTATATAGAGCGTTATAATACAATCACTGGGTTCGTCTGTCCCTAAACGAAGAATTCGTTACCCTAACAGTGTATAACAATAAAAATTCATCGTTCTAATCTTAAAAATACTTTAAACAATTACATATAATAATTTACTGAAGATACTGTAGGCTACCTGCGGAATTGATTAATCTTGCGATAAATATTATGCATTTAATAAAACAAATAACTTCGTAAGTTTTCAGATATAGTTGTCAGACCTTATTTATCTAATTCTACTTTATAGAATGCCCACTATGCAGAAACAAAACAAAGTTTGTATAAACATTTGATAATAATATATACACGCAATTATTAATTAATATTTATCACTATATATTCCTTCTGTTACGCTTTTAATCGGGCAGCTTTAATTTATTAATTTCAGAGGCAACTGCTTCAAAATATTTGTACACAATTTTTCCAAAACGTTACAGGACTCGAGGACAATTATTCCTTGTTCCATCAATTTTTATTGGAACGTCGAAGATGTTTAAATGAATAGTACAGTGTACACCAATGGCCGAAAATGGGCACCACAGACGCTCTCGACTGTTACTCGTGCTCAAACATCAATCTCGCTTGAAAAAGCTCATTCGGCCAGTGTTGTTCACCGTATTTTTTATCAAAATGGCGTAAAGAAGACCATTTTTCGTCGTCTAATCCCGACCAATCAGGGCGCTCGGTCGACGCGAGTTCCGACGCCCGGCTTATCAACAATCTATCATTTCCCCCTCAATTCCATTTGAATAACGATTAAATATATTAATTGTTATTAATTTCCCTGCATTGTTATTCATATAGTTTATTATTCGTCATTTTCTTAAAACGCTTCGTATTGAGCGGAGCGGTTGTCCAGGCGTCGAAGGTCGGACGACCTCCCATTTCAACATCTTACACTAGTTTTGGGCAGCGTTGAGATATTTTTTCCCTCACGGCTCGCTTCCCCTGTTTTTCGCCCGTATTTCGATCCCCACTACTATTCTCCTCATGCGCCTTCGCTGACTATGCCTAGCATACCCCTATCAAGTACCAGTCCCCACCATGGTCGCGTCGTCCCCACTTTCCGGCCGAGGGAAAAAATATCTCAACGCTGGTTTTGGAATACCTTGTATGTGTATATGTCGGATGAATTGTGGCATTTTACTAAATCTTTTGGCCCTAGGGCCAGAAAACTGTATTTTCCGGTCCTAGGGCAAGAAAACTCTATTTTTCGACCCTGGGACAGGAAAATTCTATTTTCGGTCCACTTTATAGGCGCCGAAAATGGACTTTTTTAGACAAGTGTTATAAAAAAGAATTTAATTTCATCAAAACATATTACATGATACACACACGATATTTCCAATATCCAACCGAATAGATAAATATATATACAGGGTGACCCAAAACTAATACTACGCCCGGAAATGGCTTCCTTTGACAAAATTTTGTCCGAGTTGTTGTCGAAATATTAGTTGCGTTCGTATACACACTAGGAGAGCGATAACTGCCTCGTATTCCGGAAGTCCGCGATATTTTGAGAGTAGTAATCGAACCAAGGCTGATTTTCATCCATATGTAAGTATATATTTTTTATGTTACATAAGCGAAACGACGCCACTTCTCGGGTGGAGGTGGGAACGATAGAATCACCCTGCGTTGACAAATGAAGGTCATTTCACTTATGTACGGTACAAAAACTTACACGTGGGTGAAAATAAGCTTTGGGTCGATCACTACCCTCAAAATGTCGTGAGCTCCCCGACTGCGAGGCAGTTGTCACTCTCCTGAGCGCGCGATATACGAGCGCTCTGATTGGTCGCGGTTCTTCGTTAATAATTCGACAACCACACCTCAGAGAACATTTCGACATAGGAAAATATTGTTTCCAATCACCTCAGGAATCTCCCATCTAAAAAAATACGACACATGATGGGACACCCTTTATACAAACACCACCACCGTTCCAAAGCCTGACTCTAGACAATCTACTTACTCAATATTAATACCAACTGTAAAAGGGTTGATGAGGCGCGGGTCTGGGCGGTTGCTGGAAGCTCTGACAACCGTAATGGCTAGCGAACGTCTGATGCGGATGGGAAACGTGCGCGTGGGGTTGCTGCAAGCTTGAGGGCGGACTCGGTAGTCCGACGCGACCAGTTGAAGAAATCTGCAAGTTCCACGACGGCGACGAACTTCCTTGACTCGCTTGCTGTTGTTGCTGTTGTTGCACGGGTGACACTGAACTGATCGGCAGATCCGAGGATGTAAGTTGATCCGACGCTGGGTTCGAGTTGTTCGAATTGGGGCCCATCATAGTAACCAGAGAATTAGGGGTCGGCGGTAGCTGATGACTGCCAGCCTGCTGGTACGTAGAGGGGGCGGTTGCCACCGGAGATACTTGGTGGTTCATGTGAGTCGTACTGCTGGATGAGGTTGGCGGCAGAAGCGAACTGGGGTAGGTTACCGACGTCGATAGACCGTAAGTCGGGGTCGTACCGACGGATGAAGATAGCCGAGATGAATCCGAGGTCAGCTGGTGCGACATGCTGTCGTGGTGCGATGAGTAGAGCTGTGGTACTGAAATTAAAATTGATTTAGTTAATATATGTATGCTCGGTGGAAATTATGCGACCCTTACATGACTTGCGTTAAGTCTATTTAGTGTTTTATTAATGGGTGTATTACATTAATTGCACTACTGTTTCAATTTATTGCTATAATATAGCGTTACTAAAAACGGAATCAGTTCGTTAAATTATATTCCCGGGACTGGGAACTCACTTTATGTAAGGTCAATTCACTTTATGAAATGGAAAGGTCGTATGGATCTTTCAAGTAAAATTAATTTATATTTTCATAATAATACATCCATCTACATTTCGACTACATTGACAAATAACTTTCCAA